TTTCCTATGATTATACTATATAGGAGGTCTGCACTTGGTAGAACAAAAATGAACATGAAAAAACTGATTTGGAAGATGAATAATGTGCCCTCTACAGTACTTTCAGAGCAAACCAAAAAATCATCAAAGAAAACATTTCAAAAAACAATGTTCTTTATTTCAGACCCTACATTTTTATTGTGGTGAAAAAAAACAACAACATATAAATATATATACCTCTAGTCATAGTAAAAAATAGATTATTGTCTACAATACACAACTCCTCCGTACCCGCCCCATTCCTCCCTATTGCTCAGCTGTCACATTCTCACTGAGTTTTTCTCACTGTATATTTTAGCACCTATCCCCTGTGCGAAGCCTGTGTTCTTCCGTACCCCCACTCTTGTTGCTGTCTCTCACAAACACACGCACACACACACACACAGTTGCACACAGCTTTGAATCAAGGAGTCTATACTGAATAAACATTCTGCCTTTAGATAGGGTCCTGATTTGCATCATCCTTTCCAAGGTGTATTTTTCACCATTTTTAGTGTAATTTATTATAAACATACAAACACCTACTGATCCTATAAAAGCACTGTCAATTGCTCACAAACATTCAGTGCTAGTCACCTTATAAAATTCAGACAATAGCCCATTCATATTCTGCTGGTGGCATAGAAGCTCAGCAAATTGGGATACTAGAGAGGAGGTATATTTAATGTGTCTTCTGCAAAGACTGGGGTAGGATGGTATTGTATCCGGTGGGAATTTAGAATTGAATTTGCTTAATGAATCTTATCCCTTATTGAATTCATTTAGTTTTTAACAATTTTGAGTAAGAAAAATAAGTCAGCTTAACTTAATAACTTTTGACAGTCAAGGAAATAAATTTGCAAGTTTTGCCGAATATTTGAAAATGTTTTGTACAACGACCTTACATTTGTTGGTAATGAGAAACATACATATTTCTGGTTTATGCAACACCTTGGACATTTCATGTGAGCGCCCCTGTGATCGTTTGAAAACATTTACCAGCCATTTGTAACATGAGATGACACCTACTCCCAGGTCAGCGGGTCTCACACACACACACACACACACACACACACACACACACACACACACACACACACACACACACACACCACACACACACACAGACAACCCAACAGACAGCAACATCTTTGTCTAATGCTGACAGAGAGGAAAGAGGATGCAGCCCTCTTGCTTTGGATTCATTTTATTAAATGAAGTGAAGAGGAGAAAAGAGAGAAGAATGGGCCTGCATACTGTGAAAGCAATTGATGAAGATCTCCAAGCGTTTCATGCAAAAAAGCAAAAATTCAGATAACTGTAGCATGACTATACTGAAGGACTGATGAAGTCGTAATGGTGTCGGGACAGTGCTTTTGTACATTTAAAAGTCACAAATGTGTGATTTTACTTGAGCACACACATAAGCACACTCTCACACGCACATACACACGCTGATGCACATACATCGTTACTTCTGAGATGTTATAAAAACTTCTCTTTTATCCATTAAAAAACTATCGATCTTGTGCTTTGCCTTCTCTACTTGATGGGTTTTTTTCTGTCATAATGGAAAGCCATTTCTTCAGCCTATTCTTCATTTGGAGTAATTATAGATGGAGAGGTAAAAGATGTTTTTTCCCCTTTCTTTTCTTTTCTCCTTCCTACCTATCTTCCTCTCCCCCTGCGTGCATTCAGAGGAGCTCTCACCACTGCATTCTTATTAGGGACATGTCTGAAAGGCTCCCACAGCATGTGGTGTCCTCTGACCATCCGCAATGGCTGCTTTTTGTTGGCATTAACAAGCCAAGCAACCAAGGATAGCTTTTCAACAGGTACAAACTTTTCCTTTTAGATAATTAACCGCATTCAGACACTCAGCACAGTGTAGGCAATGTAGGTACTGAAGCCTAGAGAGGATCATATTCTAGAAAAAAAGGACAGAGAAAGGGAAGAGAGATGGAGAAAAAACTTGATCAAAAGACAAGATGTACTCTTTGGTGTTGTTTAGTGCTAGTGGAGTCTAACTCCTATTCAAATGGTGTGGTCTTCATTTCTGCTCTCCTTGTTGTCCTCGTCCCTGTCCTCTTCATCTTTTCATCAATATGGACCATGTAATGAGGCAAAACTCTGGTCATTGTAGAATGGTCAAAGGTTTGCTGCCTTAATGAATGGGAGAAACAGACGAAGGGCAGAATGCTCTTCCTCGTTCCTGTATGCCTTGCCGCAAAAGCCCCGGGATGCCTCCTGAAGAAGACCTCCTCCATCCATTGCCGTCTCCTCTCTTGTTAAAGGGGGCATAAAGCATAGGCAGAGGGGAAAAGTAATTTTCTTCTCCTGTCCATCCATTCTTTTGGTGGGTTTCTTCCAGTTTTTGCACTGTACTTTCATAAAGCTCATAATTATCTTGGCGAGAGCCCCTCAAGTGAGAACGAATGGTGTCTTTGTACCTGTCTCTCTTCAGCCCTCTCCTGTTTCTGGGAAGAAGGGAGTCATTTTAACATTTGGTCTTCCCCTTTTACAGATGCAGAGAGAAAGCCAGATGTGTCCCCTCTTTCAAAAAAACCCCTTTTAACAACTTAATTTCATAAACGTATTTTCTGAATCATAGCTGAATGTGTCAGACCAGGACGTGAGGAAAATGCAGTAAGTAGAGGAAGTTATTAAACTGTCATCTCATGTATACTGTTGACTCTATATTTATTAGTGAATTGGCCAGCTATATTGTTTAATCATATTTGTATGTGAGATGTGAGGCACTGTCATGCAAAACTAAAGACTGAGTGGAATGTGCCAGTGACAGTCCTTTAAAACAATTTATAGAGCCAGAGAAAATCCTCAGCAACAGAAAAACAACAACAAGACTGACCAAGCATGGCAATAGCAACATCTTTTCTGACCTGGCAGCAGAGATCACTGGTTTAGGATCAAACTCTCCCCCTCTATCATCTATCCACACCGTACCTCCTCTCACCCACCCCTCCCTCGATCCCTCTGACCTCCATCCCCAACTCTTCTGGCTGATTACTCCTAATGTAATTTTAATTAAAAACTGTGGTGTCAAAGGGTTTACCCTGCCTGAGAAGCGGGTGCAGATTGTGGCACAGTGGCAGACCCCTTCACTTGCTTGAGAGGAAATTCATCCTGACATTGCTTGGGTGGTGCCAACATGTCCAGAGCCAGGTTAAGCAAAAAGGCTTTCTGGCCCATTTGAATCTCATGGTAGAGTGGTATTCTAGGAAAGCGGGGGATCTGCCCAAAAATATTTGTGTTATTTCTTATATTGTTACATTTGAGTTGCACGCTTTTTATCTATAGGTGTCTGGTGATTTCATTTGGTACACACCAGTGACATGCTTCAAACTTACTAACTAACCTATGAGCGAAATTGTTATCAGAATAATAAATAAAAATATCTAAATGTCCTTCTACTGCGAAGAACTGGCGACCTCTCCAGGGTGTACCCCGCCTTTCGCCCGATGTCAGCTGGGATTGGCTCCAGCCCCCCGCGACCCTGTATGCAGGATAAGCGGTTGACGATGGATGGATGGAAATGTCCTTCTACTGTGACAGGTCTGGTTAAAGAGCTGAGCTATATGAGCAAACCAAGAAGGCAGAGTCATTTTAGAAGAATTTATAATCTTGCGTGAAATGAATCACTACCAAAAGCTAGCAAGGAGAAAAGGTGAAGCCACCAAGCTGTTCTAATATCAAGATACACTTAGCTGACCTTGACAATAATTACCACTGCCAAATTTCACCGGGGTGACCTGCGGAAGGTGCCCCACAGCAGGACTCGACAGCAGAGGTCTGCCTGTAGGTTTGTAATCCCCTCACCCGAGCCGTTGGATTATCTGCTCTCCATCGACCCTGAAGAGGCTCCCCGCGGCACAGGCTTAAACACTCTCAAATATCTCATCTCCACACCCCATCTGCGGGCCGTACGACGTCTTGGAAATCACAGACACGGAGGAGTGGGGACTGAGGCAGCGGAGCAGACGAGGGGATCGGCACAGAGAGAGGAGCCTTTAGTAAAACACCCAGTCCGGCTTAGGCATTATAGTCATCAAACTTAACTTTAAGGATCAGTTTTAACTACTAAATGTTTATGCCTTCTGCTGTGGTACAATTTATAATCTGTCCTAGTGCTTGTTGCATTAAAGGCTTTTTCATCCTCTACTTTTAACAGTGCTGTTAGTGGATTCTACATGATTAAAGTAATGAACATACATAAATCATACATCAATAATTGGTTTTATGGAGAGTGCAAGATGTGTCAGTGGCAATGACCCTTTAACATTCTCTAACAGGGGCCTTGTTTTGTGACTGTCAGTGGACAGTTGGAGGAGCTGGTGGTTGGCCCTGAGCAGTGAGGCATGTAGTAAGAGGGTTTAACTTTGCTAACCTCCTTCTGCCAGGTTCACGGGGCCCTGCTGCTTGGGTAATATTGGATCAGTGTTGGGAGCCCGTGCCCCTGCCATATCAGCCAGCACGATACCTGGGGTATACTGAGCAGTTTCCACTATGGAGCCAACTGGGCTTGAGACTTGCTCACTTTCTCTCTTCCTCAGACATAGAACTGATGTGGTTCCTTTTTCATCTTGTATATGATTTTACAGATTATGGTATTGTTTTAAAGACACCTCACGTAATATATTTATTCTTGACACAAAATGATAATCATAAAACCTGTAGAGGGTTCACACTTGCAATTAATGCGCATGTGGTGTTTCTATTGTCTCCATTCACCAATGTTTTTGTGAAAACTGTTGACAAACAAGAATTTAAGAGAAGAGAAAGCTTTGTTTTTAGGGTGAACATGATGGCAGTTCAGTAGGCAACACTGACAGAGAAATTCATAAGGACTCAGTGAGAGAAGCATGCAGGCTGGAGCATTGAATATTATTACCATATACAATAAAAAAGACACACATAATATTGTGTTTTCCAGTTGAGAATGATCAACTGCAAAGATTTAGTTGTTTCCAGCAAAGATTTAGTTTTTTTGTTTCTGAAAAATACAAACAGTTTGAACATGGACGTTAAACATACATTGTGCATGAGAATCATTATAACCCTTTCGCCAATCTAATCGTTTTGCTCATGCTACTAGGTCCAAATTAGTGTATTAGTAAATTAGTCTATTTTCCATTTAGTATGCATTTTGATTTATATTTGTGGAGAAATTTAAAAAATACATATTTGTCATCATCAAAGAATCAGATTTTCTTTGTAACCCAAAAAGGTAGATGATGCATTATTATTTCCATAATAAGGGTCTTCCATTGTCTTCTCTTCATAGGCATCACAATTTGCCTCTGCTCTTAATTTGTGAATTTTATTTTATTAAGAAAAAATAACTTATATACGGATTTAAACCTGTTAATATACAGTATGATATTTATTGTGGATTTTTGGGACACTTTCAGAATGAAAATATACACAACAAAGCTACACAATGTGTTGTCAAGTATTCAAGAGATTTAAAATGTTTTATGAGATTTGGTTCAGTGGATCATTCGCATGAGCTCCACTTGGCCCTGTTGTAGAAATTTGGCTAGTGCTAATTTGGAAAGATCTGCTGATATTAAAATCTGCAGATGCCCACCTGGTGTCAGGAGAGTGTGATGTCTGGGAGGTGTTTGGTTGGGCTTGGAGATGTGTGTGTCCATCTGTCTTTATGTCTAGGGTAAACAAACAAAACAAAGACATTAAAAAACATGTGCAATGCATACAGGTGATGGCCTGTGGTCTCTGTTTGTTAAATGTGTCTTTTTTCTACTTGTAAAAATCATTGTTTTTTTTTTTTCTTCCTGTCCTTTGATTTGTAGATGAAAAGAATGTGCTCCTTCACCGAGGAGAGTGGCAGCTTTAACGTTGTAAGGTCAGAGAGCCGTGAGAACTTCAGGCGGAAAGGCAAGCGATTCATATCCCCTCTGCTGGTGGTGTGTGTGGGTGAGTGTGAGTTGTGAAGGCGCTCAGGGTGTGTATGTGTGGTTTGGATGTGGAGGTGGGTAGCCTACGCCTGCTTCTTACTGTAGTCTATAGTCTAACTATATGTGTGAAGCTTGTCTTTTTCTTCAAGGTGTGTGTGTGTATGTGTGTCTGTCAGTGTGTACCTGTCGCTTTGACTGAACAGGTGGGGCCTCTTTGCATGGGATCTAGACAGCCAGTCCGCCACACAACTGACTGTGGTTAGGCACAATGCGCTCAACATGCAGTCTGTAGTGCAGGCTCAGATACATTGTGGCTGGATGTCGATGTACTTTCAGCGGAGTATTCTTTCACCGTTCTTATGGCTCTATTCCACTCATGCCAGTTGGACCAAACAACAGATTTTGGGTTTTGTGTACTTTTTGCATGTGAAAGAAAAAAGAAAGAACATATAACCAAAGTATTCATTCATTTAATATTGCAATATTAAAGCTATAATAATTTAGCTGTAAATTGGAATATTGTTGAATTTGTTAGGGATGCTAGAGATATCATAGATAGATTTGTACAATTATGTATAACAATCAATTAAAATGTTCATTAAAATTAAAAAGTCATATAATATTAATAGAAGAAGGTCTTCACTAAATTCACTCTTGACTCTCACTAATACATAATGTCACACCAAAAAAATAAAATTAATAAAACAAATAAAAAATATCTCCCGAATCAACAGCTCTTACAGCTCTTTGACTTAAATTTGAGGTTTTACAAAAGGCAGTACTCTTTGAGTACTCTTGAGTAATTTTTATGCTGCGTCTTGGCCGGTCTCTCTCTTGCAAAAGCGATTTTGCAAGACTCACCTGCTTAAATAAAAATAAATACTGCAATTATGTCTACCGCCTGTACCGTAACGTGTGTAACTTAACCAGAAGGGATTTATATGTGTCGTAGGTACTTTACAAATAATTTGTAGTGCATTTGCAGTGAAGACCTCTAAAGTATTATTATGATTATTATTATTTATTATTATTACATAGGAAGGACAAGCGCATCTTTAACAGTCCACTATGGTTATTACCATAGAGGTAAATCACCGACTCACCACCACAAGTTTCATTTCAGGGCTGTTGGACTTTGTCTGTGTATGTATGTGACTCTGGGATTTGTAGTTTCTTACGCCACGTAAGTACGTCAGCGGAAGTATTCTGAGCGTACGTAAGCTAGGTCACATTGGTTCAGTTTTGCAATGTTTTGAGAAACATCACCACAATGGAGACAGCCAACGCAGGTATTAAATATTTCTGCTGTCTGAAACGCTTGACGTAACTTTCAATGACGTAAAGTATCTAACCTACTTCACACACCGCTCCTCATTCGGCTTTATTCAGCCCCGTGCTTTCACGAAAAAACTACTCAATGTTATGCGGACTCGTGTGGCTAACGTTAGCTAGCCTTAAGTAACCTCAAGTGGCTATCTCTGCGTAAAGGCCAATGATGCAGTAAATGGCTCTTGCTGTGTCCACTCAGTTATATGTCCACCACCTTCGTCAGTGATCTATATAAGTTGACTTTACATGCATTGAACACTTTTTGGTCGTGGGCATGAATGTAGTTAATGAAAACAGTGAGGATGTAGCCCCGCAATGTGTCTGTCAAGTGTGAGTGCTGAAGCAAAAGTCTCTCTAAACATATAAGTGGAACAAACGGGGGCTAGTGATTAACTTATGCTGGCCGTGGTTCTGTTGGTTTACCGGTGTAACTTCTCTGTCTTTCGTTTTGCCCTGCTTCCTCAGAGGAGATCCAACTGAGGCATGTGGAGAAAGATGTCCTAATCCCCAAGCTGATGAGGGAGAGAGCCAAGGAGCACTGTGCTGAGAAAGTTGAAGGTGTGTGTGTGCGTCTAACAGATGACCTCTTTTTCCCTACCCAAAAGTTCAACTCAACAGTCAAATACATCTATAGCTTAGAAATGTAGGACCAAAGCCAGGGACGTTGCTATACATAAAACTCTACTGGGGCACAGGCCATCTCACCCCCCATGTACATTTTTGATTTATTTTTGATTGAAGTGAATGAAATGTTAGTATGTACCTCGCCAGCTTCCTTTGCTTAGTTCTTTAATATTGGCTCTGTCAGGTCAGAAAGGGCTTTGACTGGAGCATAAGCACTATGTCACCACCTAAGAAGTATTCTGTCATGGCCCTCGTACTTGACTTGTGAACCATGTAAACAGTTTGCCATTGCTGCACAGTCACACCTGACACTGCATTGCTCTCACTACCACTTCTCCAGTCTGTCTATGTAATATGCCTCAATGGAAACCTCTTCTAGAAAAATCCTCAAAGTCTGTTAAGACTGATGCTGGCTGTACACCTCTGGCTGTGCTTGTACTGGCTGAGGCTGCCTGTGTTTCACTTGGGTCTGTGCTGTTACAGGATTTGGATCAACTGTGCTCGTTCTGACTTATGCCTCAGCATCTACTGACAAATTTAAGCATTGCCCCTGTAAATAATAGGTATCAATACTTGCTAGATATAATTTTTATCAGCTGCATCAGGCCCATACAAACTGGCTCCCCCAGTTTCCTTTAACATTCTTAAAGCTAAAATACTATTTATACTAGGGCTGGGTGAAAACACTTGATGCCAAACAGTGGATCACTTCACAAATCAAAAGAGGCAGAACATTCAGAACTATTATGATAAAATCTGTTTTCAACAAATATGAAAAATTAAAATTAAGTTCAATCTTTTTTAGTCCCTTTTTCCTCAATAAAATAAATATCTTAATAGAAAATGTAAGTGGTAATTTGTTCAAGATTCAAATGAATAAGATCAAACATTTATTGAATATTTATTGAACATTTGTTATATTGTTATTGAGGAAAATTATACTGTGATAATTATTGTTATTGTTTTATTTATACTATAACTTGACTGAATAAGTCATGTTTATTATTTACTGAGAGATGTGCATCCATATTGCTCAGTCTGTGCTGCTAATCAACATTTTAATATTCAATGTAAATTCCATGCTTTCCATTTTGCATTAGTTCAGAGTTGTAACTAAACCTTCACTGAGAGACAGATAATCACTGTCTCGTTTTAAAATGATGTGTGCCTATGAAGAGTGCCATCACATGTGTGTGCTATCTGGACTGGTCGCACTAATGTTGCTGCTGGAATGCAATAAAGTCCAGCTGCAGACTGTAGCACCGCTCAGCCAGTTTCATTTTGTGCACGCGCTTATGAGCGCATGTTCACGCGCGATGTGGTTATCATTTATGTCACATTTATCAGTCACAGTCTAGCAAGCTACCAAGACATAGACAGACCTAGTTGTGCTACTCAGCTGGGTTAGCAAAACAGAGAGAGATTCACTGCAGCGGCACATGAACCTGCTCACATCAGACTTTCAGAAAAGAGGATTGTCAGGTGACTGCTGTTCCTGAAAGTAACTCTCATTGAGTTATTTCTCTTATATTCTCTTCTTGTACACAGAAGGATAGTCCCTGTTTCTCCTCTCATCACCGTTATACACACCCGCTTTCAACATTGGCTAATTTTTTGTGACGTTTCATATCATTAACTACGTGTCTTTTCACATTAACCAGTAGTTTATTTTGAAAGTGTAACCGGACGTTGCATGTATATTATTGCTAACTTGACTGCGGAGCTCTACACGTCCAAAAACGACGCCAAGGGTCTTGACAATTTTACCGGGGTACAGCACATGGATACAGGGACATTTGCCCCACTAAAAAGGGTCTAGCGACACCTATGACCACAGCCGTGCTTGTCTTGTGTTTCCTTATGGTTTTGCTGGTAACATTTACACTCAATAAATTAGCATGCATTTCCTTTACACATATTGTAGTTGGATTGAAATTGTTTTGCCTTTATTTGGTTTGTTTTCCATCCACAAATAAGATCACAAACATGATGCTTTTTTGATTAATTATAAATTAAGTTAATAACTTAGATTCACATATCCTGGTTAAATTCATGCCCACAAGACAGTTTCATAACTTATTTGTACTGAAACTTGTCTCGTCTAAATTTATGCGGAGCTAGACCTTTTTTCTTTTTTAGTAACATGTCAGGTGCATTTAATACTATACTGAATACTAACTGCATTCAATTTAGGAGAACCAGTTCCAGGTCCTTGGTATTGTGCATACTGGTTCACTGGAACGGCTTATTAAAAGTCAGCCATCAATAACAAAATCAGTAACACCTGTTCCTGCGATGACAATTTAAAATCTCTGCTGTGAAAAAAAGGTCAATAGTTATTAATGTTTACTGAACAATGAGGGTCACACCACTGGAATCAGTTACATTCACAAATATATTTGGTCTTTAAAGACCCAGAGATCCTTCAACATGCTTTAATTCATCTGTGGCTCTGCCATAAAACTAAAGAAAAAATTAGATTTTTACTAGATTAGAACTACATCACCTAATCATCAATAAAATCCTACGACTATTAGTCAACTAATAAATTGATTGTATGGACATAATGTATCGAATGGGGTTTATAATGTTTTATAGGCCTTTTTTAAAGGAAGATATTTTGACCTGTTACAGTAGGAAAGCTGGATATAAATGATAAAACTTAAGGATGGCTGAATTCCTTTTAGCTGCTTCACTCTCAGGGTCTTAGTATTGTGCATGCTGGCTCACACTGTCATTCCATACTGAGACACTGGAATAGAACAGAGCCATCATTAATGTTATTAGTGACATCTGTGCTTTACTATGACAAAATATCTACTGTGGGAAAGGCCAACTGTATCAATTAGGGTAGACAGAATATTAGAAACACATCTCAGTATAATGCAGTATTAAATTTCACAAAGCACTATTCTTCTTCATTGTCTTTCCCTTGTTTAGCTCAGTTCACCTCATAAATGCAGGATTTTATGCTGATGACAAATTTATGTGCCGCTAAGTCAGTCAAAAACCCTTTTAGAGTGTCTGAATGAAGTGAAAGCATGGATGGCTATGAATTTTTTTGTATTTAAATGAGAGTAAAACTGAGCTCACGTTACTTACTCTGAATGACTCAGCTGCTGCGGGTCCTGTTGATCTGGGTTGGCTAACCCGAGATATTAGCTCTGTGGTCACAAATCTGGGAGTCAAGTTGGACTGTCGTTTAAAACTTGATGCCCAAATTGGTGCAGTGGTGAAAACCAGTTTTTTCCAGCTGAGGCAACTTGCCAAAGTAAAACCGTTTTTATCTCGACATGATTTTGAGATTTTAATCCATGCTTTTATCACCGCTCGTTTAGATTATTGTAATGCACTCTGTAGTGGTCATAGCAAATCACTTATGGCACAATTACAACTAGTTCAAAATGCAGCTGCTTGTCTTTTAACTGGAACTCGAAAATTTGCCCATATTTCACCCATTCTCCAATCCTTACACTGGCTTCCAGTGCACTTTCGTACCGATTTTAAAATTCTTTTATTTGTTTTTAATTGTGTGCATGGCTTGGCTCCCCAGTATTTGTCTGATCTGCTTGTGCCCTACAGTCCATCTCGTACGCTCCTATCGGCTGATCAGGCACTGCTGGTAGTCCCTAAATCTAAACGTAAATCTAGAGGTGACTGTGCGTTTGCTGTAGCACCTCTAAGATTTTGGAATGAGCTGCCTCTACATATTAGACTTACTGAGTCATTTTCTGTTTTTAAATCATGTCTTAAAACTCATTTATTTTCTTTGGTTTTTAATACAGTTTGAGGGTTGTCCTTTCAGTTATGTATTATTGTATTTCATTTTTGTGATTTATTGTTTATTAATTTTCTTTGTGCCTTTATTGTATGTTGTTATTTATTTGTAGACTGTGTTCAGCACTTTGGTCAACAGTGTTGTTTTTAAAGGTGCTGTATAAATAAAGGTGGATTGGATTGGATTGGATGCATATTGGTCAGGAAATTCATTCTACATTTTTAAATCCAAGACTATGAAGTGACTATGTAAATCCTTTTTAATTTAAGGGGTTTATTTGCTATATTCTAGAAAATAAATCCTTGAGTTTTTTTTTAGAAAATGAAAGTTAAAATAAAATACTGTTTGTTCATTTTAAGGTTAGGAACTTGAAGTGTTTATTATACTCTGCTTGAGTGAGCAGTGTATTTGCAGGTCACTGAAGTATGACAAGATGATTATTTTCTTCCCCATTCTGGTTATTTTAGATATTTTAACTAATAATATTTAGTCCTGATTACAGTTAAGATTCACAATAGGATATTGCCATCCACCAGTTTAATTTTGTTTTATGGTTTGCATTTTACCTCCAGAGAAATTATGTAGACTTTAGAAAGCGTAAAACATAGAAATACCTAGAAATTAATTTTGACTCATGTAGATGGGGTGGCAATGGCGCAATGGATAAGACTATACTGTGAGAGACCCGGGTTCAATCCCCCACTGTGACCCATCCACCATTGTGTCCTTGAGCAAGACACTTAACCCCTAGTTGCTCCAGAGGCGTGCGACCTCTGACATGTATAGCAATTGTAAGTCGCTTTGGATAAAAGCGTCAGCTAAATGAATAAATGTAAATGTAGATCAAGCTCTGCAGCACTGCATTCTTTGGCATGGAGGCTTATTTGATATCTTCTTTCTATGGACTTTCTTCTAACCTTGTTTTTCCCTGTCCCATAATCTTTTGACTGTTCATGGCTAAACTCTGTCCCGCCACTGTAACAACCCACATCCTGAGTCCTTGTAATTTCTCTGAATTGAGGAGCAGGCCAATTGGCATGGCACAGAAACCGTGGCTGCAGCTTTGCTCGTGTATGCCCTGTCTACTCCAGCAACACATCAGCCAGATAATGTGGTTTCTAGAAATATGATGACAGCCTGTATGAGCCAGTGTGTATTGCTCACGTGGGGAGACATTGCACATGCAGCCAGAGGTGATGGGGCAGACAGTGGCTGTGTGGGTAGTGGAAACCCCCCTCACATTACTAGCTTCTCGTCCTCCTCTTTTTCACACCTCCACGTCCGCCCTCTGTCATTTCATTCTGTGTGTCTGCACTGGGCTCCCGCATATGTGTGTGTGTGTGTGTGTGTGTATGATTGTGTTTTACAAAGAAAAGTAAAAAACAAAAAACGGTCTTTGTTTTTTCCTGTGTTTTCTGTCTCATAATATATGCCTGTCGTATATTGTAGGCTTTATTGTTGAAGCATACGACTCCTACTGACCTGTAAACAACATCTTTGCAGGTTTATTTTACCTGACGTGATTTTTCCTATTGCGTTGATGATTCATGTCTGTACTCACATGTCTTTCTGAACCACACCATTTGAACAACCCACATACTCAATTAGCAACCACTTTCACATTGACATTGACTGCTGTTAAGCTTTTGCAAGACTTTGATTTGCAGAAATCTACTTGTAAATTGAAATCATTAGGTCTATGTCTGTGTCACCACATCCAAAACACGGAAAGAAAAAAACTCAATTGAAATAGTAATTTTTCCAATGACTATTACATATTTTAAGTTGCTGTTTCATTATTCATTCATTTCATTATTCAGAAATAAATAAATCTTGCTCAAAATCCAGACATTTATTTTCTGTTATAACTAGACCCAGTTATGTGTATCACTAAACATTCAACCCCCTAGCTTCTGCTTTCTACTAACTGTCAAACTACACACTGCATCTTTATGCATCTTTTACGTAAACAAAACAGCTTAAAGTGAAGGTGGCGGCATACCTTTCTTTATGAGTGCCTCTTCTGTCATAAAGCTAGTCTCAAAGATTTGCCTTTGCTGTTGCTGTGATCAGAAAGGCAACCGTCTGCAGCCTCTATTAGTACCATGGGACAGGGATGAGGCATTTGCTGATTAGATTAGTCGCACTGTTCTGCTTCTCTAAATTGGTTTTGCCATTGGTTTTTTCACATCTGCATCCTCATGAAAGTGTCTGTGTGATAACCATACTGATGCCACTGATAAAGGTAATTATGATGTCAGTTGTTTGAAAAGGGACATTGGAGGGCAGTGTTTTTTATAAAATCCTTGAGAAAGAGCTTGCTAACAAGGTGAAGACTGTTTATGGGGACCTTGCACGTTTTAATCTGTAATACACCACAAGCCAGGGTACAGTGTCACTAATGCAACCTTGTGAAAGGGCTTTTAATTTGTATTTCAATTAACAATCACCATATTTACTGCTCAACCCATTTTACAACTTATGTTCCAGTTATATATTTTTTATTTTTTGCATTAGATTGCAGCTGGTTTAGGAGACAGTAACTGGGGTCAGATTTAATTTGAATACCAAAATATACTTATAACATTTAGTCCAACATAAAAAAAAATGTAAACCATTTCTTTTAAAGGCTGCAACAGGATCTATGAAGTGGACTTTTGAGCAATTAATTAGCAATTTCTTATTTTACTAATGCTCATCTTAAAAGTACATTAGGTACTTTATTGCTTCAATTAGTCTGTTGTAGGATGATATTGATATACAAGAGCATCTTCACATTACCCACAGGATAAAAGTATCCTATAAAACACTGCTGGATCTTCTATAAATGGTAATTTTGCTCCGGAGCAGTTTAGCCGTTCAGCCCGGTAAGAAGTGAACCACCGTTGTAGGACTGAAAACCCGCAGTTAATCTTGAAGTTACCTTGCTAACCTCAAATCCTGCTTCTTAGTACAGGCTCCAGGATGCCTCTGTACAGATGTCCAATAGTGACACCCTCATTGCTGCCCAGGATCTGGCCACACCCCTGGTAGAATGACATGACATCTGAGGGGTCAGGTTTACCTGCTGCGTCTCACAACCCTGTGAGGGAGCCTTTGTTTATACTGTTCCACTCTTTCTGCTATAGCAGGGAAAAAACTGAGAGTGCCTAAAGGTCTACGTTGCCTCAATGTACAGCCACATAACCCAAGTTTGGTGGCATTTTTCATTACTGAAAAACTGGAGAAACTATACAATAATCCAAGTGAGCTGCGCACTGGGTTGACAAGTATTGGAAAAACTGTCTCTGACCACAGATTCACGGACAGCACTTAGAACTGAATCGTATCTATGTCACCTGTCATTACCCACTCAACTGGGAAATACAGAGTGCTGTTCTGCAGAATAAGCAATGCCAGAGCGGCATACTGCTGAATACCTGGCAATTGTGCTTTCCACCGCTACTGAACACCTGGGACTAAACAGAAAAGTCACAGCACGTGTACATGTAAGTGCTAGCAACATGGTGCTAGCCAACACTGAACACCCGGAATGGCACTCTGAGCATTGTTTTGCACATTCACTCCAACTTGCTAAAATGACAGATTCATGCTTCAACACATAAACTATGTGGTTGCATCTGCCAGTCGTCTGGCTTCTCATTTCCATCACAATATAACTGCAACGCAAGGGTCGCAACACAAGTGTTGAACACGTGTTGAACAAAAGCAAGTTTGTGGCTTGTTCTAGCAACTACTTGAGCAAAGATCGGCAATATCTTCAGTCTTGCCAGACAGAATGTTCACTGAACTATCAGATGCACGAACCCTCAAATTGACTGATAATTGGGGTGTTATTGAGGAGTTAAATGGTTAATGGCATGGTTTACCTGATTACAGCAATTCTAATGTCAAAACAATAATGGGGAGGTACCTAAACTGTCTCAATTCAAGCACAGTCTTTTTTACTGGTGGCTTGCACCTGCAGATGTCAGCAGCACTCTCAAGGCTGCATACATCTCATCCTTAGTGGATCCAAGGCATAAACGCCTGAGGTTCACAACTGATGAAGGTAAACGTGCTGTGCAGGCAAAGGTGTGTGATCTACTCTTGAGCAGTTCTGAGGGCTTGGAAGAGATAGTTGCAGTTGAATCAGATGAAACTGTGCTGTTGGCGAGGAACATGGAAACAACAGACAATGACTGAACTTAACCAGTACTGCCAGGACAAGTGCACACCCGTCAACATGGATCTCATGGACTGGTAGAAAACCAACAAAAACAAATATGTTCGAATAGTAAAGACTGGTTCCCAGTGAATATCGAATAGTATTTCAGCTTGAAATGTTCATTGATACTCCATACCCCCCGGACTGCATCTGTTGTCTCCACCTCTCGCTTCATTGGAACTGAAATGTGATGAACACCATGCAGCAAAACCATGCTGTCCCTTCACTGGCAGAGACGAACAAGGCACTTGTGAATCACTCTGACCTTGACACACCTGTGTAAACAAGGGTTTATGTGGAGGCTGTTATACCACCTCTGCAGGGGGCATAGATGCAGCAGCCTCAGGGGTGTGATTGTTGCGCAGCCTGAGCCATGCCTGGACAGTCAAACTTGCCCCAAGATGGAAAGACTGTAGTAGGCACTAAAACCTTTCTAGAGTTGGGCATACCCGCATTGAGAATGAATCCAGAGACAAGCTGATTGAGGTAGTCTGCTATGTTGGATGAAACAAGCTCTTCTGAAAGACACGCCAAGTGCCTCGATATGAGGACCCTGGATGTTCTTTGGTCTACCTCCCAAAATGAGGAGACACAAATTAGCCAGTTGTCGAAGTAAAGGGGAATCTTTACTCTCCTTAGACATAGTGATGTTAGGGCTGCCGTTATGCACCCGCTGGGGACGACAAGGTGGAGGATGCTCAAGTGTGGGCTGTTAGATGAAAGGCTTGGCAACATGACCCTATGACTAGGTTCCTTCTTGTGGTGGAGTGCAGAGAATGAGGCCCATCTTGGTTTGCCTGTGGGTGCTTGTTTTTTCATGACTGCTTGTTTTCTAGGATCAAATAATATAAGGTGAAAGGTAGAATGTTAATAGAATTTCAGCAAGTTCTAAATTATTTAATTTAATTTATGTTTGCAGCTATTGCACATGTTGAGCCTGTTTCTCTTTTTCTGGTAATCTTTTTCTTCCTAATCTCGTTCTCTCTGCCACCTTCTTTCTCCAGCCTTCAACCACTGCTGTAAAGAATCCGGTTTCTTCATGGTGTTTAAGTGTCGAGAGGAGAATGCAGCACTGAAGGAATGTCTGACAATACAGTGAGTATTTTGCAGTTTGTTCTGCAACACTCAGCACTCACACAGTAAGGTGTGTCCTCATGTGTTATTGCACCACGTGTTATTCCACCAACATCTTTCAGCCACCCTCGCTGGCACCCTTAACTTTTGCCTATCGAGTCTTCATTCATTCTGTGAAATAAATATCTTCTGTCTTCCACCAGCTACAAGGACCCTGCGTTTTTCGAGCAGTGTAAGCAGGAGTACATCCAAGAGAAACTGGAGTTTGAGAGGACAGGGATCCCAACAAAGAACAGGAAACAAAAACTCCCAACTAGCATGTAATGAACAACATGACACCCAGATTCCCTCCTTTAAAGGCAATGGTGCGAAGTGTGAGGCTCTGGCTAGAACCAGCACCAAGCACTGCACACTAAGGATACATGTTCATCTGAAGCCTGTGTGTTTTATTTAAATGTGTGGAATTAATGACTGAAACTCCTGTGGTGTGCAAGAGTGGTATATAATCAAAATAATACCTATTTTTTATGTTCTGTATATTTGCAAAGTGTTCCCTATTAGATGGCCAGAATTATTTTCCTCACTTGATTGAATCAGCAGCATTTACTTAACATTTACGAATGAGCTTATGTATTGATAGAATATACAGAAAGCCCTGATCATATCACCGTCTGTACCTAAACCTGGAAGATCTTCATTAGAGCACAACACTTCAGCTTTGGAGGCGTGCATAAATTGAAGAGTCCCTACAGGATGCAATTAAATATGACAATTGCAATGTAAATAAAAGAAATATCAGTAGCAGTAAAGTGCTTAGCAGTGGTAAATTAGACATGACTTGAAATGTTCATGATTGCATTTTTCATTTACAGTTCAGATTAAAAGCTTCTGAAATACTGTAATGGGGTATCATTATCATACGTAATATAAAGTTCTGGTTCTTTGAATATGTTTTTCTCTCCTTTTCAGCACAATTGATGATGGTTGTAATCCATGAATATCTGTGACAAAGCAGGTGACTGAGGTTGGTTGCCTTGAATTTAAGATAATTGAAAACATGTCATGTATGGGACACTTGTTAAATTGTGAACAAGGAAGTACAGTACCCTTAATGTAAGTTTTTTTTTTTTAAGTCAGTAATTTAAGTAAGTTGAGTTTCAGTCAGTTATAATCACCAGTTTGAGTTTCTAGAGCTTTAAATAATGTTTTTACATCGCTTGTCTGTAACATTTTTTAACCCTAAGGTATTCAATTTCTAACAATTTAGCAAAATTAAAATTTAGAAAAGCAGCAAATCATCTCATTGGGAAACTGGAAAAGATACATGACTCAGACCATGAGTTAATTGTTAAAATGTTTTTTTAGCAGCTCGTTGATGAATTGATTGTGTCAGCAGTAGTATGGAGACGAGCATTGTGATGTTGCAGAGCTATTAAATGTAAAATAAATTTAGCCCATATGCCAAACAACAACATTACACAGTCACTTCCTTTCCTTCGTTTAATTGGTCATATTTACAAACAGTCTGAAGTGCAGTAAATCTAAAATATAATCCATATCTACTGTACATTGCATTTTGGTTTGCAAATCGTTTACAGAAGTATGAAACTACTGCTGTAAAATAACATTTCTTAAAAATCAACAATAAGACCACGGTTATGAAACAAATGGAAAAAACAACATATTTAACAACCATGGGACTTTGTGCTTTCTGCACCTATATTTCAAGTCACAGCTCACATTTCTTGAGGTTAATAGACTTCTTGTCTTGCCACACCGCACATATACACATCAGAAGTCTTGTTGTGGGGGAGAAAAAAAACAAAACCTATGGTTTGGAGTGCAAAACCGCGTTTGGCAGAGTGATGAAGCCCACCATATACATTTATACAGATATGCACATTCCTCCCTCATATATATATATATATATCTCTTTCTTTTCAGTGTGTTTTCTTTTATACACCTGTCAGTTGTTTATACTTATCTGACTCTTAATAAGAGAAACCAAATAGAAACTTCCCTCTTCACACAACAACTTATGTCATACTGCAAAACAAATGTTTCATAGATTAACATCAGCACAGAACAGTTTAGATACATTTTCTGTAATTCAAAATCTCCACAAACCTCATCAGTTTTCCAACTTAATCAGGGTTTCAAATACAGGGGAGAGTGTGATGCCTATTTCATGAGTCCTTCAAATTTTAAGTCCTATAGAAAAACATCAACAACAAACAGCCTTACATCTACATTTCTCTGAGTGAGGAAAGAGAAGAACACAGCTGATACTGTGACAGTAGTTCTGAGAGAACTGAGTATGTGCTAACAGGCAGCTTTAAGGAGGCTTGCTAAAGTTTCTTTGAAACAGTTGAATTTTTTTGTGGTGCCAGTGAGGATGCAGTGTTTTATTTCAGAAAGCGATACATTTTTAAGATTAAAATCATTATTTTCTACTTATTATGTAATATCCTCAAAAATACACTAACTGCACAAAAATGATTTGGTAAGCATAGGTAGATTGAAAGCCTACTCTGATATTGATCCACGAGGACTTAAATAAAAACTTGTCAAAGAAGGAAAAGATGTCAAAGATTTGATTTGGTAGCTGTTTTTTTGGAACATAAATCTGCGGTTACCCTACAGTTACTGTATGTCTGTCTCCACCACAGTACAAAAACAATCGCATCAAGTCCTCATACCAAGACACCTCCTTCACACAATCATGAAACATACATGGGACTACATACCTTGTGTACTTTACAGCGATCAAATGTAAAGAGACTTGCATTGGAGGGAGTACAGTTTTACAAACTAGTATTATACTGTGGCCCCAGTGATCATGGGCCACACTGAAGAGAGAAAGAGGGCTTTTGAGCACAATTATGTTTATTATGATGAGATACAGATACAGGCAGGCGAAAGATGCCCACACACTGATCTGCATACACAGGCACACTGTTTTATGTGTGTATATGCACACAGAAATAAAACTGCTTGTATGCATGCTTGCGCACACTTATGCATGTGCATACAAGGACACATACACATGGACAAACTATTTATTCTGCTGAGGGTCTCTCATCAATTATTCCTCTGCAGTCACATATGTTCACCGATGCGGTGTGCAGAGTTTACAGAGTCTTTACCTCGAAAGGCCTCCTCTGGCCTCAATTAGTTCCCACAAGTAGCAGGTCCAGTCCAGCCCAGAGGAGTGGTCTTATCAACTTAAGGCAGGTTAGGTGGTAGCTATGTGGCAGGGTTGGAGAGTCCATTCATTCGTCCATTTTTCATCCAATCATAAACTACATAAACTATCATCTATTTTCCCATTGAAGTTCCTCTCAGTAGGGTTTGGCCCACTCGGCATTGGGAGGACTCCTGGGACTGCAGTTTCCAATTGAGGATGAGGAGTTGGATGCAACGTTGGAGTGTCCTTCCCAGAACATGGCATCACTGGGTTTTGGGGGGCTGGGGAAGGACCGCGAGCTGTCATCTAGGGAGGCTTGGTTCAGGGGAGGCGGGGGCAGGACAACGGAGCAGGTGTCACTTCCAACCAGGCCCTCTCCTGAGCAGCTCGGGGAGGGCCAGGGCCCGTTGTACCAGCAGTCCTCCCTCAGACTGTCTGGCAGCAAGGTGCCTGACGGCCCGCCGATAGGGGGACAGGGGCGGCCGGAACACGAGGGGAGTGGGGGGGCGCTAGGGGGGCGAGGCACTGATGCCCGAAGAACTGCGTGGTGGTTGTTCTTTTCCACGTCGTCAAGACACTGGATTGGAAGTGTTGAGGCAGCTGAAGAAAGAGAGAGGAGCGGGAGGGACAAAGTGAAAGATAAAAGGAGGAAAGATAAGCAAAAGGCAAAAAAATGTTCAATGTAGTTAAATAAAATGCTGCAAAAATTGTTCTATCTGGTGAGTATGACAGCATATTAGGGCCATTGAAGATTAAAATTCAGAAAAAAAAAACTTAGGTTGTAAATTACGGGGGAAACCTATCTTGGAAAAATTGTGTTTTCAAGTTTTTTTCAGTCAATAACACAAGACAAGCAACAGTGCAGACAAAAGAGAAGAGGTGGAGCTTTCAGACAGTTAGGCAGATATAGGGGACTGCAACAAAGCCACTTGAAAGCATGTGTCACATGTAAGTCATTTATAAATGTCTGCAGTTTTTTATAATTTTGGTCTTTGAACAGAAGGAAATATCTCAAAACCGGTTGGTGGAAGTAGCTTATATGTGACACCTGTTATTAACATCTGCACGCCCTGCTTTCAATAGAGTACAGAGCCTTTAATAACACAAGCACATCTGAAAAACAGTATTTTCCAAGTTTTTTTATTTCTCATCAATTTGTGACTTTATAATCTCAGAGAAAAAAGTTTTCCTCTTGTAAATTTTTGAGTTTTTTTCTCGTAAATGTACAATGTACTTGAATCTTGGAATATTAACCTCCTCCCGCGGCTCCGTAAATTAAATTTATTTGTTTATATCCTTCCTATTGGTAATGATAATATTTCAGTCACTAATTTCTTTGTTCTGATATGGGGACATAGTGACACTACTTGACATAGCTTTAACTGAGGGCAAGGAGAAACCACACAATCCACCAGGTGGATTATCAAAATCTGTCTATTGCTAAAAGTTGACACCGGTTGCTCAGTCAGATTCTTGGATGCTTTTTACTACTTCTTTGATCACCTACTGCATAATTCAAATATATTTTAAAATTACTTTTATACTATATTTTACAAAGTTCTTGTATGGCTGAGAAGCTAGTTCAGAAAATGACAAAAAAAGCTTTTCAATACCGTACTCAGTGAAGTAAGATTTATAGTTGGCATCCAGTTCCATTTGAGTGCATTTACATTGCAATTGTAGACACATTAACAGAGCACAACATATTATGGGTGAGGATATAATTAAGGATAATTCAAAGCAATTAATGCAATTTATTCAATAGGTCTGAAAAGCTGATAATTGGAATTAACTGTTGAATTTAGTAGACATATCTGCATTATTAACAGCTATATGTCAGAAATGGGTATCACTTGACATTTTCTTCTCAGCGACACGTGTGTGTGAAAAATGATTTATTCTTTTAACTACATCACGGCTGTCTGTAAAATCCAGCTGGCAGCAAAAATTAAGCCATCTTCTCTTTCCACCGATAGAGGTCTCTTGTTGTATCTGGCACCATGATTGCGCCTCTGTATGGATTAAACTTTCAAAAGTGATTTAAAAATGCCAAGGTGTGTTCAACAAAGCCTTTTGATCCTTGACTAGATAATATGCCTGATAGTGTCAAAACAGAGAAGTGAGGTAAAGTCTCACACCGTGCAGCAGGCTACATATTGCACAATAAAACCTCTGTACCATTTAAATATCAGCTCAGTAAATATCCAAAATAATAATATTATTTTAAATATTTAAACAAATATTTATGCATAAATCAAGCATAGAGGTTTGCATTTTGTATGGAATAAAAGTGTAAACTAACCCATGCTATCTTTCTACACAAAGCATATCCATACACAAATCAGATGTCATAATCTCTCTCTCTCTCACACACACACACACCCATACACACACACACACACACTTTGCTATGAAATCATCATCTTGAGCAAATAAGAAAGTTTAAATGAGTATCTCCTCCTGCTTTTTTCCCTACCTCTCTCCATCCACACATCATCTATCCATCCATCCATCCCTGCTACTCTTCCATCAGAGGGTCTCCTGAGTCTAGGATTTGAATAAAAGTGATTCCAAAGACGGAACATTAGAAGAATACAGATGCACAATATGACTGAATAAATACATAGCCCCCCGCCCCCCCCTTCTTTGCCACTCCCGCCTCCCTCATTTCTCTTTATCTGTCTCATTTTGGTTACAGGATTACCCTCTTATTCAGTGGAATAAATAGGGCAAGATTTATTTTCTTGCCATATTTCGTTCTAATTTTCACCTTCTAGTCTCCTCTTCCGACACTCTGAGGGAATCGACAACAGAGGTAATCTCTTCTAGGGTACAATACATCATCACAGAGGGAGGGGAGACGGGGACAGACCTTTTCATGATGTTCTTTATCAAAGTGTTTGAGTGCTTTGATAATATCCACAGTCTTGTCACGCCCTTATACAAATTGCAACAAGGGGCAGCGGGAGAAATCTTCTCAGAAAGTAGTAATTCTTCAGAAAAAGCCTTCCTTTAACTGAAGAGAGGCAGTAGAAACCCTCTTTTCTGTTTGATTTTAACCACATTAGTTCCTAACAAGGTTTGAATTCCAGCCACTCTATGCGAAGAGCACATAAACCATAAATCTGACACTACCTGACACTCAGGTTAAAGACACATTTTCAAATGTCAGATTGGTTAAACATGCTAACACTTGTCTTGTGTCACTTTTAGTTTTCAACTTCACATTTTAGTGTTTCCCCTCACTCAGTTCGCAGTCTACAGGTATCGCCTATAATCTTTTTGTCACTATCTTTCTAACTGAAAACCTGAATATGACCCGCATATATGTGCAACGTTTAAACATATTTTTACACCAGAAAAATATAAAAATAAAAAACAATATATCATGGTTGAAAAAAAAGGATAAAATGGGACAAACAAAAATTCTAAATGAAAATGTTTAAAACAAAATAACTACCTGGGTTAAAGGTTTTGTTTTTATACTAGTCTGGAAGACATACAAAGTCTGAAAAAAGATTTCAAGTTTGCACTCACTGCATCTAAGTGGTCAGAAATTGCAACTGTGTAAGGGAATATAGGTGAGACAGGATACTCCCCATGATGTATATACCGGTGGTGGGGAGGTGTGATAAAGCAGGAGGGGAGCAGTGCTGGTAGTTTATCACATATACCGACACTAACCTAAAGTAAAATTGGAATTGTATCATTTGTATTATAATATACACCAACGATGGCACAACACTGAGCGTGCATAAATGTTGTGTGTGTTTGCCTCACCTTGTCTTGTCTCACTGATTAGTGGCCTGAGTTTCCTAATCAGGCCTGTTTGGTGCTTCAACTCTGAATGGAGACGAGTGACTTCGCAGCACAAAGCCTCGTACGTGTGCTGCATGCTCCTCTCCCTACAGAACAACAGAACATTTCATTTAAACATTATGTTTAAAGGCATTTCTGCTTTTTCTAGACAGCCTGTGTTTGCTTGACACATCAACAACTGCCATAAGCTGTGTGGCACAGTGTTGATCATACTTTTACTGGAATAGCATTCAAATATCCTTAATGTTATTGTACTTACTTAAACAGGCAATTATCTTTTTATTAATTTTAAGCAATGTTTAAGACATGAATTTGGTCAAAATGTGCAGGATATATAATCATACAAACCAAATCTATATAGCAAAATACAGAAATTCCTGAAGAGGCTTGTAAATACAGTGATTTGTTTGTGACACCTTGCAAAGGAAAAACAATTCTCTACACTAATGATGATGCCATTATTGACACAAAAAGGACAAACTGTATTGATGTATTAAATGCAAACCAGTAGCATCAGCTGCATTCCAAACAAACAAGGTAATAAAAAGAAGTGGTATTTGAGGCAACACCTACAAACTGTCCTATCCACACCTTATGTAAAGATGCTAAATCTCATCAACACTTTGCCTTAAAACACCTGCCTGAAACAGACAAACAAAAAAAAAAAAAAAAACTGAGAAAAAAAGGTCTTTTGCTTTGCTAAAAACTAACACCATCTGAAAACTGCTGACACGTGAAACAATTATAATGCACCACAAATAGAATTTACTTTCGTGAAATGGGAGGAGATGCTAATTTACAGGAGATTATCCTCACTGAAAAAGTAAGTGGAGGGTGATTCCATATGCTACAGACCTTGTAAAACACTGGAGTGCAAATTTAAACTATTTTTTTAAGGATACACAAGTGTTGGAGGTTTAGCTGGTGTTGAGCATGTATATAGTTCAGGTTCTTCAGATCTGCATATTATAGGCTGTTATGCAGTTAAATGTGTAAGGCTGCACCCTCCTCTAGTGGCTAAAGGGGACAATTACAACACCACCAGATGCCATACAGAATGTAACGTCACTCACTTAACAAGGGTGACGATACACCTGTCTGACCAGTCACTGACTTTCCTTGATTGAAATCCTTGATTTCAGATGTTTTTAAAAATGATTAAATGAGCAGGCATTATATTAGTGTATTTTAATTGCTTAATGAAGTTTAATGTACTGGTTTTGATAGTGGGTTGTTACTGTTGCATATGTAAAAACTGTTGAACTTGCTGTCCTGCTCCCTTTCTTGGACAGGTCGCCTTTGAAAAAGAGATGTTATCTCAATGGGTCTTTTCCTCTGGTTAAATAAATGTTAGAGTTTAAAAAAAACGGCAAAGATTTAAAATGTGCTTGAGATGTGTCAAAGTCGTGATATTTGTTGCCTTTTTCCACATAGATTGGTTAATGTCTTACATGTGTTGCATTTAGGTGCGCATGGAAAGCATTAACAGAAAATTTAAAACACAGAAAACGTAATAATAATCAAACAATTAAATTAAAAAAAATTAAAAATATGTGAATTCTGTAGCTTCTTGCATTAGAAAAGCTCTAAAAAAGGTCTCTGGAGTCTAAATTGGGGTAAATAAATTAAAACTGAGTGAGAAGAAAAGGTGTTTTAAGTAAGAAAAACAAGAACGAACACTTTATGTCTTTATTGTTTATACTGATTGTTGCTTATGACGACTATCACCAACTGAAGATCATGATGTTATTATTTACCACTGCAACTTCTTTGTCCATTTTTGGTCACTGAAATGAGGGTCGAGCACTGAATTGGCAGCTACCCTTCAATGATATAAATAAAACACTTTACCTTACATTATACTTTGTGTCACAGGTCTGGTCCAAGTCTGGTCCATTAAGGCCATGGGGTTCCTCCTAAAACAGAGTCAAGTTATGTAAAATATAGAGTGGAGGTGTCTGAAGTTGTTTTTAAATATGTTCATGTTATTTTATGATAACATAACCCTGGACTCCTCCGCTCTCCTTCAACCCTTACCCCCCTTTCTCTCTCGTCCATCAGCAATTCATTCTCTACCATTTAGGTTGGAGCATATCCACCTCTGCTCTTCTTTCTCAGTCCCACTTCTCTCCATTACTCTCAGTGCCACCCTGTCTCGCGCTGCCCTGACACCTCTCCTCCATGGTTTCCCTCTCTTCTAATTAGGCCACATCCTGCTAAGAGTCTGCTGTGTCTCCGTGGCTCTCTGCAGTCCCTCTTATCTCCCCCTTCTTTTCTCTGTCCTCCATTTTTTTCCATGATCCTCTCATTGCTGTTCAACTCTTTCTTCCCACCTTCACTTACCCCACTTCTCTCCAGCAGTCTACTGTTTTCCAGTGTCACTCTCTCCAGCTCCTCCTGCAGTTTGTGGATCTTTAGCTCAGTGCCGAGCCTGTCCACCTGCCAGTAGTCCTGAGGGCTGTTCAGGCTCTTCATCACTGCACGCAAAAAATAAAAATAAAAATGTTTCATTATTATTGTCAATAAATGTTCAATTTAAATTTGTGGAACTACTGAACTTGTGAAAACGTTAAGTGTTGATGTTTTCCCATTCAGTTTAAAAGACAGATCATTATGATTATCATTTCAACGATAGTGACGTTAGCTGTATATTTATTAATTACAATGAATTAGTTATGTTGATATGTAAAGCAAATTAATGGTTTTAAATAGTGGCGGAAGAAGTGTACAGATCCTCTGTGATTAAAAGCAGAAATACAGTGTAAAGCTATTCTATTACGTCCATGACATTAAGTAAAAGTTCTGCATTCAAATTTTACTTGAGTAACATTATAGAAGAAATGCATTAAAGGTATCAGAAATAAAAGCGCTACTTATGAAACGGCCCCTTTCATGGCATTATAACATTACATACATTATATTTCAGCATTGATTCTATGGATGCATAAATGTTTAAACAGTACTTTAGTGTTGCAGCTGGTTGAGGTGGAGCTAATTTTTTTTTTCACTTTTACAAGTATAAAGCACAACACAAACAACAGACAACTCCACAAAGTTGTTGAAAACTCTGAAAATCTTGCCACTAGTAATTACACTATAGCTGTAATTTGTTACTTTGTACCCCTGATTTTACGCGTCATACTCCAAATTTTACACATATTGTATATAAATGTATTATCATCTTACTTTAGTAAGACAATTTCCCAGCATTAAAAGAAATCCCATTGTTCATACAGTGTTGTAAGTACTTCTCAGCTGTTACACAGAGTAGAAGGAAACCCTGTGTGCTATACCCTGTACCTTGGCTGGTCTCCATCTCTGTCCTCAGCTGAAGCAGCTCCAACTCTTTGGCCTGGAGCTGCTCCGTCAGCAACCTCTCACTCTCACTCTTATCCCTTTTCTGACAGAGATAAAAGAGAGAGTGAGGTAGAGGGGGAGGAAGACGAAGGGAAAGTCAGCATTCGTACCAATGCATAAAGCGCTGTCTCTCTCTCTCGGACAAAGGTAAGATTGGCACACCTGTGCTGTATTTGTGCAACAACATCATAAGCTTTGTGTTTCTACTTAAGTTTTGAATCAAAATTACAGCAGAAGAATGAAAAAAATAAGCAGTGTTTTCAGGTTTGCAACATAGTCTTCTCTGTCCCAGGCTCTAGTCAGTATGAGGAAAGTTCAGTGAACGCACCAGTTTGTTAAGCTCCATCTGAAGGTCCTCCTTCTCTATATAGATACCTCGGTAAGCACTGAAGGCCTTGTTCACATACTGGGGTCCCTCTGATGGAGGAGCCTCTGGCCGGAAGAGCTACAGTGGTGATAGATAAAATACACAGAGTAGAGACGAGAGAGAAAACAGGAGAAGAGAGATCAATTTCATTTCATTTAAATATTTGTGGTAGGAAGTTACTTTCCTCCCACCACATCCTATCATGTCATATCATGCATGAACCTGGCACATTGCACATATTTGTTGTTAATTGTAAATTGTTGTTGTTCCATTGTTATTTTTATTTTTTTATATTGTCAGTTGTACTTTTCTCTATTTGTTTATTAGATATTTATATATTTTTACATCTTTTTATTTCAGCTGTATGTCTGTCTGCGTGTAGCACCTTAACACCAATGCAAATTCCTTGTATGTGTAAAATACTACTTGGCAATAAAGCTCCTTCTGATTCTGATTCTTGAGGGGCCAAATGCTGAAGAGAAGCAAACCTGCCCACATTTTGTGTGACATTCTCACTTTAGATTACTATCTGTATTTCCAGTTTAAATAGTTCTCTCTGTATTGTATTCGATCCTTTGGTTTTTTTCAATCCAACTGCAGGAGCCGTGTAGTAGTGTAGTTCTCCAACACATTGTTTGGCAAGGCCATACTTTTCCAGACCGGTTCTCTGTTTTCAGACAGGGTAGATTTATTTCTCATTGTCTTATAGCTTTGGCTATAGGCCAACAATATTAATGATGCTGACATGCAGACTCTCACAGAGGCAAATATTTTGCAGTATGATGTTGAATTTGCTGATTTTTTCCAAACTTCCTCTGAGCATTTTGTGTTTTTCCATTATTCGGATGTCCATGGAAAATGGAAAACAATCTGTTTAAATTCATGCACACACTTTCTAAACTTTGCTCTCTGGCTGTTCAGCCATCTGGATCAGCAGTATGTTCTTTTACTTCATTCTCCTCAAGCCATTGTCTCATTCTTCTATCTTCTCCTTGCCTCTCTCCCACTATTACCCCTTCGTTTACTTCTATACCTTATCCTCCAGCTGCTTAACCCTCTTCCTCAGCATGGTGTTCTCTCGCTCAGTATCCCTCAGCCTCTTCTTGATGTCCTCATAGGCTGTGACCAAGGCGAAGTGGGAAGCAACGGATTCATCGCCGGCACACACCGATACAGGACTCTCGCCAGATGTGGTGTAGGCAGTCTCATGTTTAAGGATGCAAATGTCATCATCCACTGCCAAGGGCTCCATGCCTGCACAGGCCTTCTCTGTAGCAGATGGAAGACCTGAGGATTACATGAAAAGTTTCGTTTTAAATGTTATAGATCTGTTGTGGGTTTTTTGTAAATGCCAAGACAACAAAATGAAAAATGTTTGGCTTGACAATGTAAGTTAGCACCTACTATCATAAAGCATTTGTATGGCCCTGTGTTTACAATACACTGTCTTGCTAAGTAGTTTTGTACCTAGTTGGCTATTGCTTTGTACTACATATCACAAAGATCATTCTGCAATAAACCAGTGTCCCAGGGTTTTAACTTTGTTCGGTTGATAAAACTTGTCATTTCTGTAGGTGGCACTCAGTGTCTGCCTACTAAGGGACGGTCTTCTATTTCCTCAATACAAACCACTGCTGCAGGAAATGTACAATGCATCACTTCCTGTGTGCAAGAGATATTTTCACGAGGACCGAGCAACCAGAGGTGAAGTGAATTAATGACCCGTTGCAAGGAAGTGGTTTATTGTAGCAGCATTTTAAAAACTAAACCTGTTTGGCAGGGACACGCACATTAAATTAAATGTAAAGGTATGTAAACATGAAGACGAGCACAATACATAAAGCAACAGCCCTTCATGTATGTTGCTTAGTCTGAATTTGAAAGAAAAGTGACTGTGAGGCTGCATTTCAGCTTAAATTGTATGGTGTTTACAAATAATGGAACATTTTTAGCATTGTTCCCTAATCTTAAAGGATCTATTGTAATTGTATTATTGGCTGCTCAAATATTTGTTGGGCAAGTGTGTTGTTTTGTTTCATCATTACCTCCTATAAGGGTTTAGCTAAAGGTCTAGAGTTGATTCTAGGTGCAACTACAAGATAGAGACACACCTCAAACAGCATCAGGCCACATATGGATGAGCTCAGTGCCGCCATCATCAGGATAAACTTACAATAACAGATACCTTCCTAGTGCAAAGTTGACTCCACCAAACTTTAGTCGTGTGGCTTATTTCAGCAGTCTAATCCTCAAAATCTAAACATGTGTCCGATATATAATAGTCTATGTGATTTCTAGCTGCTGTAGAGCGAAACTGGCAGGTTTTACAATTTGTCGTATTTGTGTGCACTGATGGTTTGCAGGGTTTCCATGGCTGCTTGCCCATAATTATGTACATGAAATTATGTACATAAATAAAAACACCATTTAAGCAATTGCCCCCTTTTCCCCCTCAAGTGTTAAATACAATAAGATACAGATGATTAAAGAGTCTCACACTGACCTGAGTACAGGCCTGTGGTTATAGGGATGTGATACAGTCCAGTTGACTCTCAGCAAGAATTTAAGCAGTCCAGCAAAACTACTTAAAAATAATCTACACTCCACCTTTTTTGATCTTTTCTGTTTAGAGGAGCAGCAGTGCAGCTACTGTTAGATGATGATGTCAGCATGCAATGATGCAGCAAACACTGAGGAGCCAAGTTTTTAACACTGAAGGCCGAAGCTTTTAGAAAAATAAATAAAATTTCAGGAGAATAACTGGGAAGGCTACTAGATCCATGATTTGGATACAAAGCAAGAAAAACACAACCGCTGACTTTAAGGACGACTTCAGAAAATGGTAGGAAATCGATTGTGACCCCAGCGAGAACTCAAAACGAAAGTCAACGTGAATCCAAAACAAGGCACGAAGAGCAAAGTCATTTCGTTAGACTAAGTTATCCGCGATAAAACAAGAGTGTTTACGGCTAACAGGGTAATGACAGCAACGAATAGACCTTGTTTTGTCCAAAAAGGCATGTAAACAATCAATGAATCTCGTTTGCATACAATGCTAAGGTTATGGTGTTAGCTTCCGTGAGCTCTGTTGACAGCCGACAAAACACACTGACTGGCCGCTGAAAAATCTGTTTCACAATAAATAACACAATTACTAAACATTGACCTAGAGGAACCTGAAAAATGTGTCAATAGCTACGGAGATTAAAATGATCGATCTGTTATGATGGTAACAGTTAGCTAGCGCTTAGCTAACGTCTTCTGGCTACTTGTAAGTTAGCTAGGTGAAGCAAAAGCAGTCGATTATTTTTCACTCTCGACTTTCACTAACCGTGTTAGATGCTGTCCTCAATTAGGTGTCAGTTGGCCAAACAGGATTATCATCTATTCTTGACAAACGAAGGCCTGTTTCACAGAGAAAAACAAAGAGACGAGGCTGGACACTCGCACCGTGTCAGAACTGACAGGTGAGGAAACAAAAACTTCCGGGAGTCACTCGACTGCTGAAATCCTTTCAAAATAAACGCAGGCCGAACAGCATTGACTTATCGCAGTGTACGCGATTAAAAAAACTATTCAGAACAAATTATACACTGACTCTGACTGAAAAGTCTTTTAGAAAAAGATTTCGGTCAGAGATATTTGCCTCCAGAGTTGATGTGCCTTCTTCTTTAGTATTTGTTGGCGGCTTAAGCCCTAACTACATTTTTTAAAGCAGTTTGTCTATTAAAGTTTGATGTTTCTGTGTATAACCCACAGTTATAACCATACCGCAATATGGGAATATTTTTCTGGATGGTGGTGCCAGAGTAAACGTCAAGGGATCATTAAATAGATTGTTAGGCCCCACATGTCATATTAGTTGGTGAGATCTAACGTTATCTTCGCCGGGACCGGGCAGACCAACTGCATTCAAACATTAACCACGGCTAGCTAACTAGGAAGCGACCGTTAAGCGAATAATTAAATTAATACATTGTCCTGAACAAATTCATGTAGGATTGGCTAACGTTTATAGTGGAGCTGCCCATATTTTCACTTTAGTGGCACAAGACTTCTAACTTACCTAGCAAAACGTTACATGGTGAATGTTTGCTCACTTGCTAAGGTAAGATACCGTTAAGGTTTCCTTTCACTTACACGGCCAAAATATAACCGTTCATTTCTTTCTCATTGACAAAATATTATTATTTTAAAATAGCTTAATTTAAAACCTGTAGTGTTGTGTCATAATTCTGTCACAGTTATTGCTGGGAGATATATTGACGTAGTTAACGTTAGCTAACACTATCTAACGTTAGCTAAATCTACGCAAAGGGAAAAAAATTGTAAATGTAAAATGGTGCAATATTCTGAACCCAATGAAATGTGACATGGACATAATGTTGGGGTAACGTTAATAGGTTTATTAAAATGTAAATTCTTTCACATGTTTAAAAAAAATGATAATCAACCCCAATGTCACTGCAAGTTCCTACAGGACATGCTTCAAAGTGAGTTGTAATGTTGGTCTTACTTTCTGTTGGTCCCTTATATCCACAGCTATCTAAAAATGTTGCCAATCATTTCCTAATTGTGCTCTATTAATCACTTTAAAGGCCACAGAGTGAAAATGTGTGCTATGCCTTTGGAAGAAACTGCAAAAATCAGTGACATGACACTTGAAGAAGATCCAGAGATCTGCATCTTTAAGACTCGCGAGTGTAAGCACAACACTTGCATACTTTTGTTCTTAGTCTTTCAGAGAGGAAAAATGTGTTTTAATTACAGTATAAAGTTTTTCTTTTCTAGTCATATTTTCGTTTGCATGCACCTTATTCTGCACAGTCCAAAGGAATATGTAATGTTTTCTTTACGTGTTACGTCAGTCTTGGTATCATTTTAATAACAAATCTTAATTTCTTTTCTTGAGCCCAGTTTAATGAAGTGGTGTCTTCAGGCTGCATACATAAAAATTCCAAACCATAATTTTCGAGTCCTGTATGCCCTCCCCCTGTTTTGTGAAGAAGTTTTTCTGTCCGTAAGAGATACTTTCCTTATTTGCCACTCTTGATGATGCCTACATATATTGTATTCACTTTAAACTTTGCAGTATAAAGCAACATGTGATACAAGTGGCATTTCATCAGCTGTTTAATGTTTGTAGTTTTGCTTTTAGATTAGCAATAGTTTTTAAAACAAATCCTCCATCTCGCCCTGGAACTGAGAGATGTGCATATGCCCACAGAGGTGCTGCAACACTTTCAGATGAGGATTTGCTTGGAAAAATAACAAATGTATTGTGGATGGTAGTGGTGGGGATTACTACTGGATTTTTTGTGTTATTGTCATTGCAGTGTTGTCAAAGGCTCAGGTGCTGATGAAAGACATAGAGGAGCTGCTGGGGTTGTGTACATTAAAATGCGCCTCCAACCAGAGACGGTGCAGACCGGTATGCTTAGAGGCACTGGTGGGAATCTCTAAACAAACCTCATGGATCCATGTGACCATGACTACAATATTTTCCTAACAATTAACCAAGTAGTTTTTATTTGTCTAATGTCAACAAAACTGCCTTCGGGGAGCTTATTTGGTAACGTGATTCCATGAGGTTTGCCTCTTTCTTCTTCTTTCTTCATTCTTTCACCTACTGACACTGCAACTCTATTGTTATAGATCAATCTGCGAGCTGTATTTTTTAAAATTAATTTCATCCTGTCTTTAAAGCACTTAATGAAGCAGATTACATTCACTCAATACTGAGGTCAGGAGTGGTCAGGTCCCTACAGTTGCATAGCTACACACTTAATTTGTACTGTCAGCTGCACGATACTAGCCCGGGATGTAAACTCATTTGCCGTCGGTGTAGTTTTCAGTTGACACAGGCTGTTTACATTTTTTCAATTTAATTGTGCACGAAAGCGATAAACGGACAAACGGCTTTGAGATTTAAATCCTTCTGACCTATTAGATGGGGTCAACAAATAAATAAAACTGTGCTGAGAAAAGAGAACACCTCTTTTCTTTAAATTAATGCCGTCAATGCATGATGTTATGATTTAGGAGATTCTATTTCAGTCTGTTCATTTACAACAGCCTAAATATCTGCGTCAATTTCATCCACGCTTGGTGCCATATTTCTTTGGATTCTGGCTGTGACCCAGTTAGGTGACATTCCCAACTTAAGTCCCACCTACACTGAACAAAATTACAAACGCAACACTTTTGTTTTTGCTCCCATTCATCATGAGCTGAACTCAAGGAGCTGAACGCTCAGAAGACAGTGGAGATGGTCGTGGATTTTAGAAAGAGCACAATTGTTAATTGTTGTTGTTCTATATTTTTATATTGTCAGTTTATTTATGTTCAAAATATTGTCTTCTGTTGCAATACGTCTGCACAACACAAACTTCTCCTTTGCTGAGATAATCCATCCATCTCACAGGTGTGGCATATCAAGATGCTGGTCAGACAGCATGGGTATTGCACAGGTGTGTCTTAGGCTGGCCACAATAAAAGGCTAGTCGAAAATGTGCAGTTTCACTGTACTGGGGGGAGGTCCGGCAGGGTTCCGGAAACCAGCCAGTATCTGGTGTGACCACCATTTGCCTTACGCAGTGCAACACATCTCCTTTGCATATAGTTGATCAGGTTGTTGATTGTGACCTGTGGAATGTTGGTCCACTCCTCTTGGCTGTGTGAAGTTGCTGGATATTGGCAGGACTTGGAACACGCTGTCGTATACGCAGATCCAGAGCATCCCAAACATGTTCAATGGGTGACATGTCCGGTGAGTATGCTGGCCATGCAAGAACTGGGATGTTTTCAGCTTCCAGGAATTGTGTACAGATCCTTGCAACATGGGGACGTGCGTTGTCATGCTGCAACATGAGGTGATGGTCGTGGATGAATGGCACAACAATGGGCCTCAGGATCTTGTCACGGTATCTCTGTGCAGTCAAAATGCCATTAATAAAATGCACCTGTGTTCGTTGTCCATAACATATGCCTGCCCATACTATAACCCCACCGCCAACATGGGCCACTTGATCGACAACGATGACCTCAGCAAACCGCTCACCTACGTGATGCCATACATGCTATCTTCCATCTGCCTTGTACAGTGAGAACTGAGATTCATCCAAGAGGAGAACACCTCTTCAAAGTACCAGACGCCATCGAATGTGAGCATTTGCTGTTGCTGTAGCTGTTGCCTGTGAACATTCAATTCACGGGCAACAGCTCTGGTGGACATTCCTGCAGTCAGCATGCCAATTGCACGCTCCCTCAAAACTTGCAACATCTGTGGCATTGTGCTGTGTGATGGAACTGCACATTTTCGAGTGGCCTTTTATTGTGGCCAGCCTAAGGCACACCTGTGCAGTACCCATGCTTTACTGATCAGCATCTTGATATGCCACACCTGTGAGGTGGATGGATTATCTCGGCAAAGGAGAAGTGCTCACTAACAGATTTTGACAGATTTGGGAACAATATTTGAGAGATATAGGCCTTTCGTGTACATAGAGAAAGTATTAGATATTTGAGTTCAGCTCATGATGAATGGGGGCAAAAACAAGTGTTGCGTTTATAATTTTGTTCAGTGTATAATGGGAGTGGTTGGCTCAGTTGCTTCTCCAACTGGAGAAAAAGCTGTTCATTATTCATCATTATTTTATTCTATTTTACTTATTTTATATTTATCTTAAATGCGTATTTTAGTCTTTTCAATGTTTTTTTGCTTTTATCTTGTATTGTTTTTGAATTATTGTCTTTTGGGTATTATTGTCTTTACACTTGTTAAAGCACTTTGTAACTTGATTTTGAAAAGTGCTGTACAAATAAAGATTATTATTATTATTGTTATTATTATCATTAAGACCTTTGAATCTCTCAGCACAATTTGAGAGATTAGAGAGGTCTGGAACCAGGCTAGCAAAACACACACACTCACTAGTAGACACATAAACCCTCGTGTACACCCTTCTCTCTATTGCAAATACTGTACAGGGCAGCTTGAATGACCTTGTAATTATTTTATGTGCTCAGGCACACAGTGCACAGTGTGGTGTAGTATACATGTTGTTGTTGTGACAGATACAGCAGGAGTGGTGTCAGGCCAGCATCGAGGAGGATGGAGAGACCTTGGTCATAGAGGGCTTCAGGTTTGAGAGTGCGGCCAGCAGAGAGGACCTGAGGAGGCTCAGTTCACAGGCTGGTGCTTCACGGGACGCCAGCGTGACACATGACTGATTGGTACCTTAGTGGATTCATCACACAAGGTCAACAAGGTCAAACGACTGGCAGAGGTAACAATGGCAGACAGCGAGCCGACGAATGACATGATTTAAAATGATTGCAGAAAGGAGAAGAACTGACATGTGTAGCTTCTTACAACAGAGAGAAAAAGCAGTGTGACACCATGTTACGCAGAGGATATAGATTGTTTTTAGATAAAAGTTCAAATTGTTCCTAAATGTTTATGTAAGAAAAGAGTTAGTCGTTCAT